GGAACGCCGGGCGCGACACCAGCACCTGCCGAAGCTGCAGGCCATGTTCCAGCTCGAAAAGGGAGCCTCTGAAAAGAGATCCTGACGGATGGTTTTGGGCTCCATGATTTGTCCTTTTTTGAAGGAACCCGGAAAATGGATGGTTTCAAAGGAAGACCACAAGGACATCAGCCATTTTTTGGGGTTCCCCCATTTTTGAGAGAACCCCGGAAGTGTGTTTGCAGAGTATCTTTCAACTTGCCCAATCCGCATGATTCATACCTTGGACTACATGGAATGGTGTAAGCTTCAATTAACAGCCCTCTTGAACCTGTTGGTTTTCTTGCCTTGATTTGTCGGGGTCTGACAAGGCACATGTATCGGTTTCGATTTGAACAAGGTGACAGCCAGAGGGCCACTTGGTTATGCGGTTATGCGTATTCAACCCAAGCAAGATCCAGCACAACGGGCATCCTTCCGGTTTTCACACATGGCCATTGCTGAGGAGGCGATGCTGAGGTTCACTGATTTGGTTGTTGGTGATTTATTGTGCCGTCGGGAAATCAAGTTGTAGTCGTGATGTGATCCTTGGTCAGACTTTGGTGTGTGTGTGTGTGTGCGTGTTTTTTTTTGTTCTAGTTACTTGCGTGTGTGTGTGTGGCTGTGCATGTTTGTTTGCGAGATATTTTGCGTCTCTTTTTGCGATTGCTTGTAATTGTTGGTGTGTCCGATCTTCTGTGTTTGAGTGCTTGCGCAATGCGCAATGATGTGCAGAGGGGTTTGTGTGGGTGTGTGTGTGTGTGTGTGCACGTTTGTATGCACATACATGTGCATGTGCGCGTTCCTTTGTTTGTATGTGTGTGTGTGTGGGTTGTTCTTTATGTTTGTGCTGGCGTCTACAGGCGGGATACAGGTTGGGAATGCCTTGGGAAAAGACAAGAATGTGTGTCGATAAGGATGGAGCATGGTTGCCCCTGAGTACCCTCCCCCAGGCGTCCAAAGCATGGTGCCTCTTTCGAAATATTCTTTCCCCAAGAGGTGGGCTGGGAGCTCCAATGTCTGTCTTCGAGACCCTCCAAAAAGGTCGCCCCCCTCAAACATGATTTTGGAGCACGTTCTACAAGTAAACCTTTGTTTTTGACGTTTTGTTTTTCCCATGTTGATCCATGTTTAGTCAAGGTCCCCAAAGGTGATCACCAGGTCAGGCCAGGTCCTTAAGGGGCAAGTGAGGGACTGACCGATCACAAGGGATCACTCATTGTAGGGAAGTTCCTTGGCACATCATCTTGGGAGTCTCATTCCCTGATTCCCTGAGAAGAGAACCAGCAAGTTTTGCATGGCCACTGGGCCGATGCAGGCGTAGCTTCGCCTGAGAAGCCAGGCAAGATATGGGTCTGCGACAAGGATCAAATTTGGCCATCCAAGGACTCTTCTCTTGGTGTGTGTGTGTTTATTGCGTGGACTCCACGAATATCATCTTTAACCTTTATGGAAAATGTGCGTGTTTTTCCCAACTTGATCAACAACCAGTTGTCCTTTCTTCCCCAACAGCTGGAATCCTTGGGCTCTTTGCCCAGGCTCCGGAGTGGTTCGGTGCAGCTTTCAGGGTCGCATTTTTGGACAACCCAAGACTTCAACCCAGTATTTGTTTTGCTGCTTGCTAAGACCAATATGTTTTGCTATTGTTTTCAGTATTGTTTCCAGACACCGAGGTCCTCCACTGTTCTGACAGGTGCGACGCCAGAAGCACGTTTTGAGACGTGAATGGGGACTCTTTGTTTTTGCCTCTCTCCAAAGCTTTGGCAAAAAAAGAAACCCTCTGTCAACCAAAGAGCCCTTTTTCAGACCCCCCATGGTTCGGGTTGCCCATGAGGCTTCTTGGCGCGAAGCAGCTGCTTGTCGCCTTTCCAGTAGGGTCCCTTGAAGGATACATTGCCAAGAAAAACAGCACAACCGCCTTGAGAGGATGCCCTTGTACAGGTTGTTTTGAGTTTTGAGCTATGTCCTTTACGAAATCCTGTTGCTGTCAAAGTGTACTTTGTCTTTCGTGTACTGTACCCTCATCTACGGCTTGCGCTCGTGAATTCCAAACGAAAGCCAAAGGGAGCTCCACACCATGTGAGAGGTCATTTATTGTGCAACCGAAAATGTTCAGAATTGCCATAGGTGCCGTATGCTCGGCCGTAGGTCCATTCCTAATTGGTTGAAGCAAGTAACACTCCTGTGCGCATAGTGTAGAAATAATATATATATATATATATGTGATATGTTCAGATAGACACGAAAATCATCTATAAGTACTCGTTTCGTGTGATGTTCATGTCGTTTCAGCCTCAAAGCTGTGTTTTTGTTTTTGGTCTGAAGGAGATGGTAGCAGCAGCCCAGCACTTGTTTCTATTATGAGGGCCTCTTTTGTCAAGGCACGCAGTTGACATGCTGTACTGGATAGCACTTGCAGTGTCCATTTGGTGAGCGGAAGATACAGAGTGCGCGAAAACAACGCAAGGTTGATCAGGAGAAGGTGAGTTTGGCCCCAGATTGGCAAAGGCTTGCCTGATGATCACATGTATTTGTGTGTGTGTGTGCGCGTGCGGGTGTGGGTGTGGGTGTGGGTGTGTGTGGGTGTGTGTTTGTGCATCACCTGCCTGGAACATGTTTCTCAGAAGTACGCCGGAAAGCTGACTGCTTGTGATCTGCAAGAGCCAACAATAGTTTGCCGAGCCAAAGAGATCCGCTAGAACCAACGGACTCGCACCATCGGTCGCCGGGGTTTTGTCGACCCGTGCGTTCAGTCGCGAATCATTTCGACTCAATCTGCATGAGGTTTAGGGGTTGTCTCAACATGAGGTGCCCCAAACTGGCTCATTTTTGGTTGAAACGGGAACTGGAGAAAAAGCAGACTCCATGTGTCTTGTTTCATTTGCTGAAAGCAACATGCGGTTTTTCACTGTTTGTTGCACAAGGAATCTATCACCACTGGAAATGTCGTTCTTTTTCAGGGGACTTAAGCAAATAAAAGTCTCCCTTACCTAAAGACAAGTATCAAGTCACTCCCAAAGCAAACGCATCGCATGTCTCCCGGAAATGGCAGGTGCAGCGTAGAGGAGCTCCGAGCACCCCGAAACCCGAAACCGGGCGGAGGGAAAAAGGATCGGAGGGCGGGACACACTTGGCGGGTGGTGGTGTGCGTTCTTCCAACGATTCTGGACTCCACGACTTTAGGGATAGAATCAAGATATATTTATTGATGATCTCTTTTATTAAGAGTTGATCAGAAAAGAACAAGCAAAACAGGTTTAGCACCATTTGAGTGCTTCGGTGTTCGATCGCCAAGTTCGGAAGTTGTGGTTGATCTAGGTTAACTGTTCGATTCACTGTTGAGCCTTATAGGTGGGGTAGGTGGTTATAACCCAAGTGGCTACCCTAAATTAACATGGCCGAACATCCAAGTGGCAAACCCTTGGGAACATGAAGGAACACATTCATTCGAAGGAAACCCCTGGAAACCTTCCGAATATGGTTGCAACCCATTTTTGAGTCCGAACTGGGGTTGACCTTGTTGGGTTAAAGCCCAAGTGGCTCCCTTAACTTGGCCGAACGAATCCAAGTGGCGTGTCTTCCACGTCTCTGGGGTCCCTTGTGCCCCTGCGAACCCTTTAGGCCTTGAGGGGAGGCTCGCCTTTTTGTGGCTCGGTGAACCCGTTTTGGTGGGTGGCTAGGGAAAACCAAAAGGACAAGCGTTGCACCATTTTGGGGGGCCAATAGTGGAAAAAGACACCCAAAGGTTTTGTTGGTCTTAGGCCCTTTAACTGACCCTGGCGGGTTTGACAGAGTTCTCAGGGACGGAACTGGCCGTGACGCGTTTTGACTGGCGGTCGATTAAGGGTCTCTCACCTTTTTGTTGGTGGTTGCAAGGGAAAACCAAAAGGACAACCGTTGCGCCATTGCGCAGAAAAAGACCCACCCACACGGTCCCTTCTACGGTCCAATGACTCCTTTCCTTTTGGTTTACCTAAAGGTCAAAATGGGCACGCTCAAAAGCCTAAACCAAAAGATGCGTTGTTTGTTTGTCATCGGGGGGTTGGGTATTAAATGTATGTTTCACGATCTATCATGGGGCTAGCCCCAACTGGCAATGCTATTTTGATGAACAACCATGATGAAATCTCCCTTTGGTGTCCTAACTCCACAGGCAGAAAGGCAGGCATGCAGGCATGCAAGCAGATCGCAAATATGTGTGTGTGTGTGTGTGTGTGTGTGTGTGTGTGTGTGTGTGTGTGTGTGTGTGTGTGTGTGTGTGTGTGTGTGTGTGTGTGTGTGTGTGTGTGTGTGTGTGTGTGTGTGTGTGTGTGTGTGTGTGTGTGTGTGTGTGTGTGTGTGTGTGTGTGTGTGTGTGTGTGTGTGTGTGTGTGTGTGTGTGTGTGTGTGTGTGTGTGTGTGTGTGTGTGTGTGTGTGTGTGTGTGTGTGTGTGTGTGTGTGTGTGTGTGTGTGTGTGTGTGTTGTGTGTGTTGTGTGTGTTTGTGTGTTTGTGTGTTTGTGTGTGTGTGTTGTGTGTTTGTGTGTTTGTGTATTTGTGTGTGTGTGTGTGTTTGTGTGCTTGTGTGCTTGTGTGCTTGTGTGTTTGTGTGCTTGTGTGCTTGTGTGCTTGTGTGTTGTGTGTTTGTGTGTTTGTGTTTTTGTGATGTTTTGTGTTTGTGTGTTTTGTGTGTTTGTGTGTGTTTGTGTTTTTGTGTTTGTGTGTTTGTGTGTTTTTGTGCTTTTGTGTTTTTGTGAGTTTGTGTTTGTGTTTGTGTTTGTGTTTGTGTTTGTGTGTGTGTGCGTGCATGTCATGCTTTTGATTTTGTCATCTGCGCGGCGAACAATTGTGCATAGGTGGATTGCATCAAGTCAGGCAGTTTGATTGAGAATGTTATATCCCGAATATTGACGGCCACAAATCTAACAAAGCATAAATGAATCAGGTGCATTGACTGACACAACATCTTGATTCATGCATGGACTTTGTATACTTGACTTCGGATCAAGCTCTGGCACCTGTTCAAAGCTCTTCTACGTTAGCCGGGATGTCGAGGCTTCTGCAAGCATTTGCCTTGGGCGTCTCTTTTGCTTTGGCAGCTGATGATGTCACGTTGGAAATAGCGAAAGGCAGCCTCACCAATGATGACGAGTGTTTCGAAGGCGACGAACAATGTGCTCTCAACGCGTTGCAACTTCGGCAAACTGAGCTAGATGACGCTTGGATTTGCGGCACGAGTAAATGTTGTTGTTTTTTCCAATGCTATTTCAGGATGAGAGACTTTGACTAGCTTTCGCCCTGTTCCTGGCAGCTCGAGGTCCCTGAGGAGGTCCCCGAGGACGACGCTGCGGATGATGGCCGCATTGGCCTTGGGCCTGATCCCAACAGTACGGAGCTGGGCTCTGGCTATCATCAATCCGTACCTGATGGCTACCTTGCGGCTCGTTGCTCGCACCGTTCATACTGCATCATGGGCCGGCCGGCCCCATACATGGTGGTCGCTGGGCACAGCGATTCCATCGGCATGGAGAGCATCAACGGCGGAAACGTCGGCTACTACGACAGCATGATGAATGCCGCCTGGTCCCGGTGCGGCAGCTCCAGCTGCGTCATCATCACAAACCCCAAGGGCTTCCGCACGCAGAGCCGCTTCCACATCCACTACCGGTATCAGAGCGGTCATGGGAAGTCCTTGAAGGCCGGTTGATGGCTTTGGGGTGTTGTCCAACCACTTGTGTGAGCCCTTACGGGGGCTTAGTCGTTGGTCACTCGAGGTGTATCCAACCACTTGTGTGACGGAATCTCCCCCTGTAAAAGGGGGCTCAGGTTTTGGGAAGCCAGGTTTATCACCACTTGTGTGAGACGAGGGACTCCCCTTCTTCAAATTGGGGGGGGGAGGGGAAAGGAGTCTTTGGGGCGTTGTATCACGGATTCGAGGATTCATTTCGACAGCCCTGTAGGCGAAAATGGAGCACAAGGTCTGCCACGGAGGCGGCTGGCAACATGGCGGCTTCCCTTGCGGGGGCAAAGCCAAGTTCTTCTCCGGCCATGTTGCTCCTATGAGCGCGGCTATGGGTGCTGGAGGCGGGGGGAGATTGTTTCAACCACTGTTTGGGGTGTGGGGTTTGGTGAGGTCTTGGGGTGGGGGAGGTTTGGGTCGGGGAATTGCAGTGGTTTTGGGGGGCTTTGCTCGGTTCCACATTGATTTTCAGTTCTTGGGGGTTTGGGGGCGTGGGTTGCGAGTTTTGGGTTTGCGGGTTTGGGGGTTGGTACACCAACTTGTTGAAGCAAAAAACAAGAGGCAGCTTTTGGCTGTCCACGCCCAGCCTCGTCGATTTCCGCCCTGAGAGGCATTCACGGCGCGGGAGTGTCAGTTTGGCCGCAGGCTTGTGGTGGAGGAGGTGCCATCGTGCTGGTCACCTACCATTGCAGCATCGAGCACAGCATTGCGAACATCCCGCCACACTAGGGTCCATGCGATCCCTTCGGAAATAATACGCAGACCAGCCAAAGAGTTGGAAAAAGACCGAGTTGCAAGATGTGAGCTGAAGACCTGTACTATTCCTCTATGAATCGGTGCGCCTGACCCGCTGCTTCGGGCTGCGTTGTGAGGCATAGATATTATTGATGTTCTTCAGGATATATGAGTTGCAACAATATTATGTTGAAGCAATAGTTTAATGAGTATTCAATGCATGTTACAAATCGAATGAACATATGTAAGATGTTGTTTTAAAATATTTAATGTAATGATATGTCTGAGTGTATTTCAAACACACATGCTTTGTTGGTTTGGGTTGTTCGTTTTGTTAGTATATGTTGTGTGGTTGGTGCGAATTTGTGTTTTGTTTTGTGTTGTTTTATTTTGAAGACATGATTGCCGTAAATGTTTCGAAACATATTTGGTTAAATATGTTTGTTGGTTTGTATGTGTTAATATGTATTTGTTTTGTTTGATTATCATTTATTGGTGTGTCTGTTTTTTGTTTTTTTTGTTATGGTGGTGTTTTTGTTTGTTGTTTGTTTGCGTAATTGTTGTTAATTGATTTGATATTATTTAGTTATTTAATTATTTTGTTTATTATTTTAAAATGGATTTTATTTGGTTTTAATTATATTATTTAAAATTTATAGAGGGGAACCCATTTTTTTTAAATTGATTATGTTTTTTGTAGGATTTTTTTTATTAGGAATTAGTTTTATTGAGGGGATATAGTAATTGTTAAAAAAATATGTTTGATTTTTGTATGGAGGTAATTTATTTTGATGATACATTTATTTATTTGAAAAGGAATGGTTAGAATTGATTTATGATGGAATTATTTGATTTACGATTTTTATGTTTTTTTTGGGTGGATATATTTTAAATAATTGAATTTATTTATTAATATATTTTAAAACCATATATATTTAATTTTGAATTTATTTTGAATTTGATATTTGTTTTCCTTTATAATTTTGTATTTTTTTTAAAATTTTTATTTTTATATTATTTCTAATTATTAATAGTATTATTTAAAAAAAAAAAAAAAAAAAAACCTAAATATCTCATTAATAATATACATTTTAAAAAATTCAATATTAATTTAACGATTTTTCCCGAACTTTGGTAGAAAAAGAATTTATAAAGCCCAAAATCGATAGGGGGAATCGAATTTAGGAATTTTTAATTTTAATGAGATATTTTTTTGACAAATGTTTTGTGAGGAATAAGGTTAAGGGCATAAGATTTTTGGTTGTTTTTAATATTTAATCTTTTTTGGTAATATTATATAAATTTATATTTATTGTTTACTATAATTTGCATTTATATATATATATACATATTTATAGGTGTGATTTTTTTAATTTGTTTTTATATGTTTTAGTTTTATATTGTTTTGTTTGTTTGTTTTTTTATATATTTTTGTTTTTGTGGTTTTCCTTGATTTGATTTGTTGTTTTTGTTTTTGTGTTTATTGTTTTTTTTGGTATTTTTTATTTTTACTTAATTGTTTTTTAATAATTATTTATTGTGTTTTTTTTTGGTTATTCTTTTTTTTTCTTGTTTGTGATTTTATTTTGTTAATTGTTTTGAAGATTTTTGGTTTGTATATATATATTTTTTATATATAATATTTGTTCTTGATGATTTATTATTATTTGTTTGTTATTTATTTATTTAGATGTGTTTGATATTTTATTATTATAATTTATATATTTTTTATTGGTATTGAAATAATTTTATTTGTTTTTTTATTAATTCTTAATTATTTTTATTTATGTGTGTTATTCTTATTTAATTTGTTTTAATCCTATTTATTAGTTTATATTATTTTTTTATATTTATTTATATATATTATTATTTATATTGAAATTAATTTATTTATAAATATTTTATGATATTTATTTATATATGTTCGTTTGTTTATGTTTTCGTTTTGCATTATTTTATTTTGATTAATTTATGTATTTATTTAGTTGTTTATTTATTTGTTTGTCTTTTTTTTTATGTTTCTTTTTTTTCGATTTATGCGATGTTTTAGGAAGATGATATAAAGCTTGAGCTGGATTAAGTAGTTCCGCGTAATTGCTTCCGCAAAAGGATGTCTAATTATTTGTTTATGTGCCTGTTTGTTTGCCTATCAATTTGTTTGTCTGTCTATTTATCTATCTATTTTTTTGTTGACATATCTATTTATGTTCGGTATTAGAAATATATTTTTAAAACAAATATTTTTTTCCCAATCAAACGATCTTTACCGGAAAAAAATCATCAAAGGAAGTTTAACAAGAAACTTCCGTAGTACTGGAACTAAGTGAGCTAGCTGCTTTGACATATAGCTATGACAGGTAGCTAGCATGACAAATAGATAGCTTTGACATATAGCTAGCTTGACAGATAGATAGCTTTCCAATAGGCTAGCATGACAGATAGATAGCTTTGACATATAGCCAGCTTAACACATAGATAGCTTTCTCAAGTATCGATTTCGTGGCAGGCGCAGCACTTTCGCAAGCACTCTCTGCGAGCTGGGGGATGGCAAGATGCAGAAAACGTTGGCGCTGTGCGTGAATTGGGCTTCCGGACAGTGCGCAAACCACCTCGGCTGCGACGCCTGTACGGAGGCGGGTGCGGAACGGAACGGTCTCGGAGACGGGACCATTGGCACGGCCGCGCGAAGGTTTCGCAAGGTTTGAATTGCGTGGCAGGCGCAGCACACTTTCGCAAGGTCAAGTGTAGATTTCGTGACAGGCGCACACTTTCGCAAGGTCAATAGATTTCTGGCAGGGCAGCACTTTCGCAAGCTAATTCTCTGCGAGCTGGGGGATGGCAAGATGCAGAAAACGTTGGCGCTGTGCGTGAATTGGGCTTCCGGACAGTGCGCAAACCACCTCGGCTGCGACGCCTGTACGGAGGCGGTCTCGGAACGGTTCGGAACGGGTGCGGAACGGTCTCGGAGACGGGCCCATTGGCACGGCCGCGCGAAGGTTTCGCAAGGTTTGAATTGCGTGGCAGGCGCAGCACTTTCGCAAGGTCAAGTGTAGATTCGTGACAGGCGCAGCACTTTCGCAAGGTCAAGTATAGATTTCGTGGCAGGCGCAGCACTTTCGCAAAGGTTTCGCAAGTAAGTTTCGCAAGGTCAAGGATTTCGTGGCAGGCGCAGCACTTTCGCAAGTACAGATTTCGTGGCAGGCGCAGCACTTTCGCAAGGTGAAGTGTAGATTTCGTGGCAGGCGCAGCACTTTCCCAAGGTCAAGTGTAGATTTCGTGGCAGGCGCAGCACTTTCGCAAGGTCAAGTATAGATTTCGTGGCAGGCGCAGCACTTTCGCAAGGTCAAGTATAGATTTCGTGGCAGGCGCAGCACTTTCGCAAGGTCAAGTGCCAAATTCGTGGCAGGCGCAGCACTTTCGCAAGGTCAAGTACAAAATTCGTGGCAGGCGCATCACTTTCGCAAGGTCAAGTACAGAATTTGTGGCAGGTGCAGCACTTTCGCAAGGTCAAGTGCAAAATTCGTGGCACGCGCAGCACTTTCGCAAGGTCAAGTACAGATTTTGTGGCAGGCGCAGCGCTTTAGCAAGGTCAAGCACAGATTTGAGCAGCCGGGGCTCGAAAATCGCAACTTTTAAGTACGAAAGTAGTACGCGAAGTCAACTTTCGCAGCTGGGGCTTGAAAATCGCAACTTTTAAGTACGAAAGTAGTGCGCAAAGTCCACTTTCGCAGCCGGGGCTTGAAAATCGCAACTTTTAAGTACGAAAGTAGTACGCAAAGTCCACTTTCGCAGCTGGGGCTCGAAAATCGCGACTTTTTAGTACGAAAGTAGTACGCGAAGTCCACTTTCGTAGCTGGGGCTCGAAAATCGCAACTTTTAACTACGAAAGTAGTACGTGAAGTCCAGTTTCGCAGCTGGGGCTCGAAAATCGCAACTTTTAAGTACGAAAGTAGTACGCGAAGTCAACTTTTGGGGATTGAACATCGCAACTTTTAAGTGCAGAGAAAGATGGGTAGATAGATAGATCAATAAACAGATATAGAGATAGCTAGAGAAATAGATAGAAAGAGATAGAGAAACAGAGATAGACAGAGATAGATAGATTTGTAGATAGATAGACAAATAGCTAGCTAGATAGATAAAGAGATAGAGAGATAAATAAATAGAGAGGTAGATAGATAGATAGAGATAGAGAGGTAGATAGATAGGTAGATCTATAGATAAATCGCAACTTTTAAGTACGAAAGTAGTACGCGAGGGGCTTGAAAATCGCAACTTTTAAGTACGAAAGTAGTGCGCAAAGTCCACTTTCGCAGCCGGGGCTTGAAAATCGCAACTTTTAAGTACGAAAGTAGTACGCAAAGTCCACTTTCGCAGCTGGGGCTCGAAAATCGTGACTTTTTAGTACGAAAGTAGTACGCGAAGTCCACTTTCGTTAACTACGAAAGTAGCACGTGAAGTCCAGTTTCGCAGCTGGGGCTCGAAAATCGCAACTTTTAAGTACGAAAGTAGTACGCGAAGTCAACTTTCGGGGATTGAACATCGCAACGTTTAAGTGCAGAGAAAGATGGGTAGATAGATAGATCAATAAACAGATGTAGAGATAGCTAGAGAGATAGATAAAAAGAGAGAGAAAGAGACAGAGAAACAGAAAGAGAAAGAGAAAGAGAGAAAGAGAGAAAGAGAGAAAAAGAGAGAGAGAAAGAGAAGCAAGGGGCCAAGGACAGTTCTCCAAACTATAGTTGTTCACTGCTTTGAAACTTCCGCCCCCCGGCTCTGCCGGACCTTACTTGTATATTGTATCTATAGGTGAATCTTATCTTATCCCTACCATCTATCTGTTCGTATTTCATCCTATCTTATTTCTTCCAGACACTAACCGTTCCACCTTTCCAAATCCCAAGGTGTTACACGGTTGTAGGTGGAGAACTCTGATATATTGAGGAAACGAAAGGATAGCAAGGGAGCCAACGCAAAATCTATTTCTCTATCTCTCAGTCATATGCTATCTTCATCAGAATCCTATCATTGACCGCTAACAAATAGACCTCTATCCATTCATCCCTTCCGCTGTCTCTCGATTTCACCCATCACCAGCTATTTACTTTCATA